GACTGTTCCTATACAAGAACATGGTATGTCTTTCCATTTGTTTCTCATTAATGTTTTAGTTTTCTACAAATAATATTTTGTAAGTTTATTCCTGAGGATTTCATACTTTGTGTTTACTGCTGCTTTTATAAAATGGGTCTTTTCTTTCCTTATGCATGTAATTGGACATTGTGTACACAAAGTCTATTGATTTCTAAAAATTAATTTTGTAACCATATATTAAATTTTTTGTTTGTGAGTTTTTGGTTAGTTCTCTTTCGTTTCTAGGTGAACAATTCAATCATATCATCTGCAAATTATAATTTTATCCTTTCTAGTTTATCATTAATTTCTTTCTCTTGTCTAATTGCTTTGTCTAAGTTCTGCAGAACAATTTTAAGTAATGGTGATAATAGGTGGCTCTCTTTGTCTTGTTCCTGATTTTAATGAAATCACTTCTCTAATTCTCAGTAAAGCACAATGCTATAACAGCTCTCCAAATCAACAAGCAAGCTAGCGTTCCCAGGGTCCTTCACTTTGTCTCCTGCCCATCTCTCCCTGCTCCTCCATGCACTTTATGCGTCAGCCTTACCAAAATACTTCCAGTGCCCTGAACAACCATGCTCTTTACACTGAAGGGCCTCATCTTCTCTTCTTCACTTAACTCAGGCTCATCCCTCAGGCTCAGTACTTTTTTAATCCTCCTTCTGCTCAGTTTCAGTTAGTGACTTCCTTCGTGCCCAAATACCCTGATATTCTTTCATCAGAATTTTTCACTCTGTATTGTAATATTTGCTGTGCTAGTCTCTTGCTCAGAAGACCATGAATTTCATGACATCAGGAATGCCTTTCTTCTTTGTATACTCAGCAGCTAGCAGCATGCCTGGCATAAAATATGTCTATACACATCTATATAAATGAAGGGACATTTAGAAAGGCCAAGACTGTTAGGCAGCTATTTTGCTAGCAGTTCTATGAGATGTTTAGTAACAGTCTGAACGTAAGAGACATTCAGGACTGTCCATTGCTACCATTAACAACTCAAAGCATGTGTCCTCCTGGTTTATGGATCAGTTTTGCTTTGGCACACAAAGGACAATACCTTTTTATTGTCATAGGTTTGGAAGATTTCATTGACTTTTGCTCTAGCCACTTTCAAAATCAAGAACAGGTTGTTTTAAGAGATGCCACAGAAATTGCCAATTTTCTTTCAATGTTGGAAGCACAGAGAAGAGATGAGCCATTCACAGTTGCTTTGATAGAGAAACAGCCCACCAGAAGCAATAGGTAAACGGGGAAAAAGGGTGTTACTAGATACCCAGCCTTGGGCTTAAGGGCACACAGTTTATTTCAGACATACCCAGCCACCAACGGTTCATTTCTGTTGTGAAAAGGGGTAGCATAGGGCATTGGCTGGTAATGGAAACTCTAGCATCAGATGTGGAGTCTGAATCCCAGCTGACAACAAATAGCTATGTGACTTGGAGCAAGTTAATCTATAACTGTAGGAATGTTTCAATGCTTTCCAAGAGAGATAAAAGTAACTTTTAGTGTCATTGAGGATTGAATGAGAATATTTAATATTAAATGGGATTAAATTACAGCATATAATCTCTCAGCTCGTCGTTTTTGTTGTTGTTATTGGCTCTGAAAAGGGTTCTACTGGTTTCAAGAGTTTGCAGAATATATCTAAGGAACCTTAGAAGATCCTGCTTTTGGGCAGTCACTCTTTTCCCCAAGGGTGCTCTGAGGAAGGCTGGTTTAATGAACACACAATAAGTAATTTTTTTGAATCAGCAAATAAGGCAATTGCTCTAGTGGGCCTTCGTTATTCCTTTCAGCTGTCCAGCATCTAAACTGCCCTCTTACATTTCATCCATCCTGATAGAACATTCCAAATAACTATTCTCACCTCCTACAACTATGGCCTAGGCACGTGACTACTAATCAAATCCATCTACTCCAGATTTTGAATCAGGAACTAGTGATTCAAAGAAGCCAGGAACACACAAGTCCCTCATGGTGAGGGTGGGACCCCGACAGACAGTTCCAGAGGCAGCACGCAGGGATGGTAGTGAAGTAAAAAAAATCAAATTCTACTTTCCTATTAGTAATCAGTACTGTAATACCTGAAACACCAATAAAAAGTTCTCTCATGAAGATCTAACACGGTACCCAAAGTCAAAATGTAGTGAGGAAATGGGTCTGTCTTATCCCTAAATTCAAATTAGAATCTTACCAGCAGCAGAAAGAAACTGAAGAGAGCACTGGAGGGGGAACCTCCTTGCAAGCAGGAGTAGGCCCGGGCCTCCTAACCAGTCCCCGACCCTGGAAGGGAGGAAGCACGAGAGGCACCACACACAGTTCAAGCCTGACTTTCCATGAATAGGAACTCCACCCACTAGTAGACCGGGGGATCCACCTTGGAATCAATTGTGATTAGCAATTCTCCCTACCTTGATGGGCAGGGAGGAAGGGCAAAGAAAAGTGAGGGAAGGAGCAGAGACCTTGAATATGTGCTCCTAGAAATTTACAATGATTAATGAATTGTAAATTGTATTAATTTACAATTAAAATGTCTCACTCTAAGCTTGTGGTTTAAGTCAGTGCATTAAGGTGGTTTGGCAAAGGCTCACTAGCACATTGGTGTTAACTGAAGTATCGGAAGTGAGGAAAGAAAGACATTGAATGTGTCCAACTGACCTACCAACCAACCCGCCAACCTCTGGATAATGACAAAGAGCAAGGGAGAAAAACCAGGAGAGAGCAGGGTCAGAAAAGAAAGAATTCCAAGAAGAAAATGGTTATGCAGTACCAGGCCATGAAGATCAGCCTAAGGTCTAAAATGTGGCCATTGGAAGCCACTAGTGAGCCCCCCAAGAACAGCTTCAGCGGCGGTGTGGGCGGTGGCCGGGTGTGAGTGTGCTGCTTTGCAGTCTCATCTCTACATCGCTTTAAAAGGACCAGAGCCTGTTTCAGCTCCCCATCCTGAAGTAGCCGAGCTGTGATTCAGCTGGGCAGAGAAGGATTTTTTAGTATTTCCCAGGTGGTCCTAATGTGCAGCCTGGGTTAAAAACCACTGCTTCAGTGAACTGAGAATGAAGGATCAGCAAGTGCAAGTGAGGGCGGTACTTTAGTGACGGTCAAGGGGTTCAAAAGGTTCAGGAAGAATATTTTTGTTTGAAGATGGAGTCTTTGAACACGTTTAAATACAAAGCTGTATGTGCCAGCTGTGAGGAGTTGCAGTTAGACTGAGCAAGACATCTGTCTGGTCAAGAGAGAGGGACCTAGGGCACTGGAGACGGGACCCGTGCTGAGCAGGGCAGGCCCTTACAGGAAAAAACGGTGAGGGTGTGTGTGAAGGTGTGTAAGTGGGGACGCCTGTCTAATGCTCTATTATCTGCAAGGGGACAGGGAGGAGAGCTGCTGAGTCTGAGAGGGAGGAGGGGATAGAAATATTTTAAATGGCCACAGTTTTCAATAGCTGCTTACAGCAAGTGGGAGGCTGAGTGAGATAAATACTGAGAGCAATTCAAAACATCACCATGATTTTGGGGTGGTAGAAGCTTGCATAGTCATGACAATTTTTAATGGAGAAATACATGGCCCACTGGAAGGAGCAAGGTATAGAATCTATTCACAGCGAAATGGCTTGATTTAAGTCAAAGCCACCAAGGCCGCTTGTAAGCTCTCTGGTATTTTCTTTCCTTTTTCAATTAAAAACATTTGAATGAGAGATCTGCAAAGGTCAGAATTCACTTCTAGAGGACGAAACCATTTTCATCATTTGTATCTTAATCTTTTTATAGTCCCACACCTTGATAATACCTAGTAACATTTTTGGCCAAAGGTACTTTTAAATGATTTCAAGATAGAAAAACAATTATATGGCACTTTAAGACTACAAAATTGAAATGAGGTAAACAGCCTTATACATGTGTGCTAATCATACTTTTAAATGTTCTGTAAGTTACTCTGTTTTGACATCTTAAGAAACCTTTCTGGCCAGGGGAAAACTGCACCTCCCAGGGCTGGCCAATTCTGAAAGCAAAGGACTTAGCCAAATGTACGTTCCGGGTACGACAGAGCCATACCTCCTCCATCTGGCCTGTACACCCCAGGAAGCAAACACCTCTGGGCCAGGTACCAGGCAACTGGAGACTACACTACAATCCAAAACACCTGGAACTACTCAAACCAGCCATTCCTAACCTGTCCATCCTCCAGCCTCACCTTTCAGGAGGAAACCCCAGCACAGGCTCTGGCCTAAACCCCTAACTCGCTGCTGGTCTTCTGCCTGCGGACCCCAACCCTGGCATTCATCGTGCTGCCCCGCATGGCAAGCGGTGCCTCCTGTTTCTAGGGAAATTGCAACATTACTATTTTCTTTCAATGCTATTGACCTCTCCATGTTGCTACTCAGTCACCTTTATAAATTAAGACCCGGGCACAAAACCACATGAGCATCTGAGGAAACGATACTAGAGGACTCCTCCTCAGCCACACATACTCCCTGGGCTTTAGCAGTCAGTTAGGGCCCTGCCCAATTCATACACATAAAATCTAAAGAAAAAAGTGGTCATGATTTCAGTTCAAAACTTTGAGACTAGAGCACCATATTTTGAAATGCTGAATCCATGAGTCGGACAACAAAAAATACAACATGCTGTTGCTGTTGACCGTCAACCCCTGCAGAAGCACTACTTGAAATGTAAAACAAAGACAATAGGGTATGATTAAGTGGGATAACTGAAAATGGATTTTTACATGCTGTGCTCAAGTCCTAGCAAAAGATTACCAATAACTCAACAGCTGTTTACTACAAAAACTATGTAGGTGGTTTTCCTTCTAATATTTTTTTCATATTTGTGAGTCATGCTTAAAGGCTCCATCATTCATAACATTTTCCCATGAAACAAATATCATAAAGTCATGAATGGCAGTATCTTACACAAATGTTTTAGTGTCAATTGTGAAAAATGACTATCACTCACAGACTAAAAATTCATTGCTATATTTTAATCCACTTTTAAAATGTTGTTTCCATCCATTTAAATTTGGCTTTGATGGCATTTTTCTCCACATTATCCTTTCTCAACGTTTCCAGGTAATTTTTCAGGAGCAAGAGGGAAAGGGTATGGGAAATAAAGACATTAACAGCTTCTGCAAATATGATACACAAACCATCTCTATTTTTAGGGAGGGAAATAGAAGAGCACCTTAGAGCTCAAGGGGATACAGTATATTAAAAGTTTTTTAACTATGGAAAAGCCTGTGGTTCTCACACGCCAGCCTGCACCCGAGCCCTGGAGGGTATAAAAGATGGCTGCCCCCCACCCCAGATTTTCCGATCCAGTAGGGCTGGGGGTCCGAGAGCGTGCTGGTGCAGCTGGTCCAGGTGCCCTAGCATCCCGACTGCAAGCATCTCCCCCTCTCCCCCTTGCCTCTCACTTCTGGACCTTGCCAAGACTGCCTTCCTTGGTGAACATCTTCAGCATATGCCCCATTCTTCAATACTGCACTTTAAATATTTGTATTTCCAAAATCTGGCAGTCCTACTGAGTGTCTGTGTCTGTCTGCAGTGGCAGGAAATTTTCTTTTGGCCATAAGTTTGTTTTGCTGGGTTTGTTAAAAACCTTATAATCCACACTATTCAGCAACATCATTTTCCTTGTTTCTTTTCAATCTTGCTGTTCACAGGCATCTGACATTCATCTGTTGTGACCCTAATGTAGGCGAAAGCATCTCTGGGCCGCGATGTGTTCAGTGCTAACACGGAACCCACCCATTTCCTCACCTTTTCCCTCTGCACCAGTGCTCTGCTGGGGCAGGCACCCCTCCTGATTGCCGCCGCCATCAGTAACTCCACTCACTGTCATGACTGGCGTGGGAGATAAGGAAACACTGACAAGTAAAATGGACAGCTCAGGCGTTAACAAAGGACACGGCTGACAGCAAGCGCAAACTGCTTCTGTCACCCTCCTGCCATCCCATAAACCATGCCACATCCTGCGAGCTATGCCGCTAACAGGACTGCACGCACAACTGCTGGAGGGAGCCACCCTGTTCTCATCCCAGCTCAAGTAACGCTCACCCGACACAGGAAATACTGACTATGGCTTCTAATGCAGAGATTTTTGCATTGCCCAGGAAATAAAAAGCATATGGCTCAGAAGCACTGTAGTCAAAACACGGCAAGGCCTGAAAGGAATCATGCACCACCAAGAGCTTTCGCCTGGAGCCAAAGTGGGGAAGCCATCACGTCAGCAACGATGGCTCAGCCTAGCTGCCTGCTCCGAGTGACTTCCGTGGTAACTCCGCTCCTCCACTCTGCAGCATCAGAACTTCCACTGCCATGGAATAAATTGGGTTTCTGATTCCAGAATGAAAAGATACTATCAGATTAATCTATTTGGGATCATACATAGCTCAATGACCTGTTCTAGAGATGGAGGTTTTCTTAGCAAAGGACGCCATGAGCATTGCGGATTAGAGTTATCTTAGCTTTTGGTCATTTTGCCGCCAGAATGGCCCTGTTTGCAGCCAGTTTCATAGCCCACCAAAACAATGTCATCTGAAATTTTCTGGTGCCATTTCTAAAGAATTCAAGTTTAAAAACACACACATCAGTCAATAAAGACCATATTCTGTCCCTCCTAAGTTTGGCACCATGCCAACGGCTACTAATTTCCTCTTCTAAATAGTTCTTAACCAAAAAACACAAGTGTTTTATGCAAATGATGTTGCTCCTTTTAAAATACTGTATCTGAAAAATAATCTCAAATTTACTCATAAGCAAAACTAACTTTTCTGAATGATAGTAGTAGATAATGTCTTCATTTCTGCCTATTGTGGAAAATCCACAAGACTAGGATTCAGAGAGACAGACTGTGCAGCCAGTTGGGGTAAATCAGAACCTTAAATAAGTGAGACTACGGAACTCAGCTTCAGTTGCTACTTTTGAGCAGATCAAATACATGTAAGCCCAAGGATTAGCCTCAAAGGAAGGAAGTAATGCTATTGGAGATTTTTTAACATATTACAAAACTGGATTTTGAAGTTGTATCTTTTGTTGAAAGGTAACAGACTTTCCTTAATTTATGACATTATATAATTTGCTGTACAAAAAGGAGATTTAAAATCTAAGATTCGAAATGCACTCAAGGCTAAGGTTCCCCTGGAAGTGATTCATACAGAAAGCAAGCGGAGTGTTGATAATCCTGTCTGTACGCATGCACACGCGGCAGCTTACAGGGGAGAGCACAATTTAAAAACCTTTATCGCAAAGTACTTGTGTGCTTAATTGCTACTTTCTTAGGTAATTAATTTTCTTCCCCAATTATTATAGGTAGATAGGACATTTTGGGTGACCCCAATTGAAGTATTCGAAACACATAGAAAAGCATGTCCGATATAAACATTCATGGCAAACTGTTGCAAAAACATGGGTCTTGAAGTGGTTCAGGCCTATCGATGAAAAACAAAAGATGATAACCCAGGGCAGAGAAAGTCTAAAAGTCTGGGGTTGTAATCCTGGCTTGCTTACATGATTTCGAGGAATAAATAAACTGTGACGTAACATGGCAGCAGTCACCCACTTTTACATCATAGAGATGCTTAAAATGTAACACTGAATATATAAATTACTTTTAATCACAGGTTAAAAAAAGAACTGTCAGGCCACAGACCGTGAAGGAAAGATTCTACCTGAACTACAGAGGCCGTCGGAGGCTACGATCACAGGACCACCCTCGGCATGAGCCACAGAGCTTAGTGCAAAGAAAGTGAAATTACGTCTGTGGACTTCTCCCTCAGATCCAACAAAGTATGTTAGAAATGTGCACCTCAGGACACTACTGGGACTAGATAAGAATGCACATGTGACAATATGACCTGCCTTCCTCACTAACCAGTCCAGTAGTGCCACTCTGTAACCACACATCACTTCTGCACTTCCATGGGCGCGGCCGTAGGGAAGGGCGATCCACTCACTAGCACGTGAGAACCCGGCGGCCCTCGGGGGCGCTGCGTGGGCTGGGGCACTCCTCCCCACCCCATCCTCTCCACCTGCCCCTCCCTCCACCATAATCCTCTTTCGGGGCAGCTGACGTAAAGTTCTCAGTCTTGCATAAAGTGCCCTGCAACCTTAGCTTAAGTCTCCCTCTCCACCGAGATTCACACCAACCCACGGACATGGAAATTCTGGAGCTACCACTGTTAAGGACTGTAATTTCTACAGGGAACACGATAACCTGGCCCACCATCATGTTCTGTGTGAGAAAAGGGGACATTTGCCCTTCTGGGAGAGGAGGCTCCATCATACTCAGCACCTATGTTTAAGCACAGAAACTATCCAGGTGCAAGGTGGGAGTTCCTCTAGAACATCACCAGAACAGCGGGCACTTCCAGAGCAGGTTCTGTATATTTCAGAGTAAATGTACTCAATTTGTACGAAAAAAGAACCCTGCTATCAACCAGGCCCCTGAATGAAAGACATTCTTGATAATACTTGTTTTTTAAGAAACGGTGGCTTTTCTCCAGCAGCTCTGGGCAGTCACTTATTCCTCATTTTGACAAAATAGCATCCACCTTCAGGCATGGCTGCGTATATAACTCCCGAGCTGTCAGAAACACACCAAGTATAAAGGTATGCCAAAAGACATTTTTCCTCCCCAAAGTGTAAGCCCAAGAAACCATTATTATAATAGAGTATGAATTTCTGCTGCAGGTTATTGACCTATAAACTAACGGGAAAATCCCATTTAGTATATAAAGGCTTATATTGCAACATGAAATATTAAGACACAATCCACTACTTAAAGTTTTCTGTACAGTTGAACCACCTTCATTACACCAGTCTGCGTGTGAGAGGGAACGAATGTAGTCCTCTTTTGGTAGACCACGAACTCTGGAGATGAGGCAAAGTACAATGCAGCTGCTGGCGACTCCATCAGGCCATATAGGACACTGGAAGAAGAAGTCCCACGCTGCTCGCGTAGCTTCTGAGGCTCCAAATTGAGACCGTGGCGGATTTATCTTACTGACACTCTTGAGTGACTCAAGGCTAGGCTCCAAGGCAAACCTTACCTCCTGCAAACATAATTCCACACACAGGTCTTGACTCAGCGTTTAAATTTGGCTGGAACCAACTGCAAATCTGGAGCTTCCTCAAATGATATTAAAAGCTCTACACAAAAATTATGCAAAAGCAGTTACTAGTTTTTCAAGAAAAAAGACACACTTGCAAAAAGCAACAGCTCTGCAAACGGAGCTGTAACTGTTGAGATAGCAATAGCAATGTAACAAATATAGCACAGGATGGCTTTAAAAAAATTGCTGCCCCAATATTTTACTAACTTTTTTTTTAAAACAGATGGCCACAATATGATTTGCTAAGAGCAAGAGTCCACTGCTTTGTTGGAAGAGGAAGGAGCCAGATCTGGTGATAAACGGACTGGGAATATGGGAGACTATGTAACACAAAATCTAATATTCCTTTCACAACACCCCACTGGCTCCTGGTGGGTGAAGTGCTGCTCTCTAGCTGCATCCAGGGCTCTTCTCCTGTGGCATTTTAAAAAACGTAGCTGCAGCTGAGTCCGTTGCTTTCTCTGTGGCAGAGGTCCGGACCAGCCACTCAGAGTTTGGAGATTTCTGGGCCTGTGCTGCTGGCGCGGTTGGCTCCATGGCATCCATGTGGACTGGTAAGATTACTACAATAAAAGGAAAGAGGAAAAAAACCAAGGGGAGACAAATTAGAATAAGACACTTCAACCCCAAACATTCTTAATCCTTATGTCCTATTAACCCAGTGTCCATGTAAGGTTTTTCTTTTTTCTTTAAAAAGAAATAAAAGCAAGATTTAAGTAAGATTAAGTATTTCTCTACCTGAGAAAACGGGTTTAACTGAACAAATGAATAGATTCAGCAATACAATTCATAATGCAGTAACGATCACTTAGCGTGCACTTATGTGCAACACACTACACTGTGTAAACACTACATTCATAACCTTATTTCCTAATGCAAACTCTTAGAAGTAGGTATTATCACCTCCACTTTCTGAGTCAGAAAACTGAGCCATACAGAGAGCAGATAAATTCTGCAGGGACAAAAGAGAGCTGGTTAAGTAGCAAGACTGAAACTCAGACACTGGACTCCAAGCCCCACGTTCCTTCTATCATACTGCATGCCTCCAATGTAACAGTGTCACCAATAAATAGCAGATAGTATAAGGAAAATGGCAGGAAATCACATAATCAAGCCCACTTTTTTCAACAAGAACACTAAACACATTCGAGGCAGAATAATAACTGCTTATATAGGGCTGTCCTGTATATCTTAGGACACTTACCATTCTGGGCCCCATCTACTGAATGCCAAAAGCCCTCCCTGGTTACTGGGGCAACCAAACAGTCCCCTCATTTCCAAATGCCCCCTGAACAGAGTAGTACAAGCCCCCGTCCCACCCATGCTGTTGACAGTGAATATACACTAGCATATAACAAAATCTAGAAAGTTTCATTTTTAGTGTGTCACTCAAAAAGTCCAGGAATGTAACCCAGAACAGTAATTTTCAAATTGTGGATAACAAAAATCAATTTAGTGGGTCATGATCAGTACTTTTTCTCCTTAATGAAATGAAATAAAAAATATCTGAATTATTTCATTTACATGTATACCCACATGCATATTCAAACATGGATTCCTTACAGGGAGTCATTGTAAGAATAACCTTGAAAGCTATTACTCTATGGTACATACGCAAGAGTTTGAGGGTGGTGGCTTTCAAGTGTTTTGGAACCTCAAACCACAACAGCAAGAAATGCATTTGACATCACAAACCAAATCAATCAAGCGATCCCTCTCTCCTTCTCTCTCATTCACATACTCGCTCATTTAACTGAAATTTCACAAAACTGTGTTTACCATTACTGTATGGTCAGTGACCACAGCGCGAAAACCTACTACCCTAGACAAATCTTTTCTTTGGCTATATGTTTTTATTATGGCAAAATATACATAACACCCACTGTATCACTTTAATAATTTTAAGTGTACAGCTCGGTGACATTAAGTACATTCACTCTGTTTCACAACCATCACCACCGTCCGTCTCCAGAACTTGTTCATCATCCCAAATGGAAACTCTCTACCCAACGAACAGTAACTCCCCAGCCTCCCCGCCCCCAGTCCCCGACAACCACCATTCTACTTTCTGTTTCTATAAATGTTACTATTCTAGGCACCTCATATAACTGGAATCATATAACATTTGTCCATTTTGTGTCTGGCTTATTGCACTTAGCGTAACGTCTTCATCCACACTGCAGCACGTACCAGAATTTCATTCTGAATCATGAAGGCATTCAGGCCGGATAATATCCATTGTATAGAGTATATGCCACATTTTGCTTATCCATTCAGCCAGCAACGAATAGTTGAACTGTTTCCACCTTTTGGCTATTGTGAATAACGCTGCTAGAGCACGGGTGTACAAATATCTGTTTGAATCCCTGCTTTCAATTCCTTTGGGCATATACCCAGAGGCAGAACTGCTGCATCACATGGTAGTTTTATGTTTAGATTTTTTTTTTTAACAGTACAGAGGTTTTTTGGGTTTTTTTTCCACAGCCATGCCATGAACTCACAGGGAATGGGTTCCAGCAGCCCAGGCTCCTTCCATAGGTTCTCACAAAGTGTGATTCTCTGGGCGGAGCAGGCTGGTGCTTCCGTTGAACCAGGTACCTTTCTCTTCTTCTTCTTTTCTTTTTCTGATCATTTTATTTCACATGTTTCAGTAAGTCATCTCAGATCATAGAGTGCTTTATATGCTCAATATGTACATTAATTCTTTTGACAAGAATCTTGCCCTTAACTTGTTTGTTTATAGCAATGCCCACCGCATGCTGGGTGAGACTGTAGACTCCTCCGGTGCTGCATGGTAGCATTTGTGGGGCATTCCTTTTTGAAGAGTGCCCACTCCATTGATGTCCACAATATCACCTTTCTGGTAGATTCGCATGTATATGCCCAAAGGAACAATCCCATGTCTTCTAAAAGACCTAGAGAACACATAGCAGGTGTTTTTTCTCTTTCCGTTTGTGTTAGTCACTTTGGAAGATGCTGGTTCTGGCAGAAAAAGTCATGTTTAGATGTTTGAGGAACCGCCATATTGTTTTCCAGAGTGGCTGCACTGTTTCACGTTCCCACCAGCAATGCACAAAGGTCCCAATTTCTCCACATCCTTCCCAACACTGATCTTTGAAACAGCCGTCTTAATGAGTATGAGGTGGCCGGGAAAAAACTATTGCATGTGCTCGCCCACAGAAAAATGCAGGATTTTTCACAATAGCATAAAATGGGATACGATCCAAACGTCCATCAAGAATTTTTAATTGTAGTATATTCATCATTTTAATACAATAGAACACCATAGATACAGCAGGAAAAAAAAAAGAATGGATTTGGCAGGATGAAAAATGAATGAATCTCAAGAACATAATTGGGTAAAACTAACTTATAAAATTTGACATTCCATTTATTCAAGGTTCAAAAACAGGCAAAACTAGACAATATATTGCCTAGAGGTACCTATGTCTTAAAACTATTTTTAAAAAACAAGAATGATAAGTGATGTTAACAAGAAATAAATATCAGGATAATGGTTACCCCTGAGGAGAGTGGAAAAAAAGATTTTTAAAAGTGATATTCTTTTCCTTAAAGTAGTTCGTGGGTACACGGGCATCCACTGCGTCATTTTCTTTCCTCCTTATGTATCTTTCGTAAAGGCTCTTAGAGCCATTCAATATTTACTAAAAAGTTTTTTTTTAACTTTAAAAACCATTTAAACTTTAGAAAGGCATAGCAGGCAATAAGAATCTGCTCTATGGCTCCCAGAGAAGGATGAACCTAAAACAGAACTACTGAATCCAATCACAGAATCAGGAAATATTGAGAATAACTCTGTTTCAATTTTAAGATTCTATTCACACATTCGTACAACTATCTAGTGAGATCGTTCCATCTGCTGAGCATTATTTTAACATCTGGGGGTACAGCAGCAGCAAAACAGGAAAAAGTCCCTGTCCTTGAAACTGCATCTCTAGCCATCACTGGCCTGATATTCGGAATCTAAAGTAACTCACTGACAGCTTAACTGGTGGGTACCCTTCTGACTGATGCTCTAAGGACATGTATGCTATCCCAGAGAGACAAAAGTCAAGAGGCTTCTAGAAGGGTAAAGTAGGGCTCTGAATACAACATCCTGCTTTTCCCATTCTCCCATACCTACAGCCATGTGTTTACTCTGGGAAAGAAGGGGATTTGTATGCCAAAGGCTCTGCTCTGCCATTCTGATGAAGAAAATCATCCCAAGAAAATAAAGTCCGGTTTTCATCTGAGTTCCCTATGGTTTTTATAGCTCCTTAGTCTCAAGTTTTGGAGAAAATAACCCATTTTTTTTCTTTTCCAGTTACATTCTGTAAGAGCACACACAGCAAATTCATTTCGGCACGAGGCAGTAACTGCTGGACGACCCCTGTTCTGCTGTCCAGGACACTGTAAGCGGGTTACGCGGTTGCTCACTCGGATCCACAGTGGCTCTGTGCACCGCACACCTGTGTTTACAAAGCCATGAAGAGCAAGGGAATGGACATAAAAAGAAGAAAATAAAGGTGCTACACTTTCCAGAAGGTTCTACTCAATGACCCTTTGAACAAGTCCTTTTCCTTGGCCTTTTGTTAGTAGTAGTACAAAAAGACAAGGCATGCTATTTATGCTCTTCACCTCTCTAGCCTTATTAATATCTTTAAATTCTGTCAATTTCAACTCAAAACTTTCCACCCGTGGGGGAGGGGAACAGGGGAAAGATTTGTGGCTGCATGTTTAAGAAAGAAGCTGAATTCATCACAGTGACAGGGGAGAGTGTTGGCAGAGATCTGAGCTATTTATTCTTTTAGGAAAATCCTATAAAGAATGACACAAGGAAGCCTCTATCTGCAGTCTTGTTCATCACACTGGTGAAGAATCCGATAACAGATGTATGCAGTAGCGTGATTTAGTGCCAGGAGCTGGCCCCTGATGTGTATTAATACAGCGGCAAAGCAGAACGCACCTCTCTTCATCAGTCATTTCTATAAAAGAGGTGGGATCCGAGATGGCCCAATGTTAGGCAGAGCAAGCCCATTTGTTCTACTGACTGATGGCGCGGGCTCGGGCTATGTCCTTCACCTCCATGGGGCACTCGGGTTGTGGGTAGAAAAAAAAGAAAACATTCAGTGAAGCAAGCCTTAGTCAACAAGTGAGGGGAGGAGCCTGGATCAGTCGGGGAAATGTTTAACGCTCAAGTCTTGTTTAATACCTCCCAGTACATTTCCTGACTTGAACATGGAATAAGGATTTTAAACTCTTCTCAACAGTTATTCTCTTATAAAGCATTTAAAAAGCAAAAAACAGAAGCTACATATTGAAGAGAAAAAAAGAGCAAAAAGATAAAAGAGGGGAGACTGTTCTAATGCTTCCAATACCAGAGACAGGATGAGGATCTGGGTTTTGATGCGGAGTCATAGTTGGGAACCAATCCTATCTTATGTAAGACAGAACATCTGCAGGGTTTAAGAGGGTGGCTCTAGAATCACAGGGAAACGGGTCTGACCTTGGCTCTGCAATTTATCAACCATGTGACCTTGGGGAAGTGATTAACCTCTCTAAGCCTCAAATAGCTCATGTGTATTGGGAATAAAAACAGCACCTTACAAAGTTGTTGCAAAGATTAAGTGAAATAATGTATGCAAAAGGTTTAGCTCTGGGCATGGCCATGTGAAAATCACTAAAAATATTTACTATAGTCCATTATCATGACAATCTTAATCTGAACCACTATCCAGCAGTCTTCTCAAACAGAAGCTTAAAGGCGTCGATTTCAGAGCATGCCGAAACTTATTAAGTAAAAGGAGGAGAAAAAATTCTGTCAGAGATGTACTCTCCACTCAATTATCAATTGTTCTGATCTATATATAGATATAAATGCGTAGTATTTAATTATAATATATACTGTTTTATGAAGAAAATAAAATCATCTATGATATACTCAATTTCCACAGAATAAATTCACAATCCTCAAGAAAGTAACGGTAGGGGTCCGTGGTTACCACAGAAGCAGTTGCAGATGTGTGAAAGGGGGGGCCAACTCTAGGTGACAGGTAATAACTAGGCTTTTTGGGGGTGAACACTTTTTTTGTATACAGATGTAGAATTATAATGTTGTACGCCTGAAACTTACACAATAAAAAAAAAGGGGGAAAAAAAGAACTGTAGGTATTTCTAATAGGTCCTACAACCAGATTAGTCTTTTTATCCAAAGCAATTCACCCTACACTGTATTAAAATAACAAAGGATTCCCTATGATTACTAATTACATTTAACTATCTTCTCTTAACTCTGAAGAAAAAGATCTATAGACATCCAATATTCGTGCTGATATAAGTAAATAACTATCCCCCTCTGGTTTCATTTAAGAACATACATATAGTTAATCATAAATGTATCGTTCAGTGAATCGTTACATGTTATACACTCACGTAATCCCCACCCAATTCATTATATAGAACATCTCCAGCATCCCAAAAGATTCCTTTATGTTCTCTCCTGGTCACCAGTGAAAACCACTCTTTTGGTTTACCAAGTAGCTGTGCTCAGAAAGCTAAAAAGTTTTAACTTGAAAATCTGTTTTTAATTAGAAGTTTTTTGACTGGTAAAATATTATCACTCTACTATATATAAAAACATTGTAAGGTATACTAAATTCAAAAAGTGAATGAATCTGTCCTGGCCAGTGTGGCTCATTTGGTTGGAGCGTCATTCCATAAACCGAAAGGTTGCAGGTTTGGTCTCTTGTTGGGGTGTGTATGGAAGGCAACTGATCAATGTTTCTCTCTCTTGCTTCCCCTCTCTCTAAAATCAATAGGCATGTCAAGTGAGGATTAAAAAAAAAAAAGTAAATAAACCCATGTGGCTCCTTGGCTACGGGCCGACTACACTGCCACCCTGATGGGACATGCATTAACAGATCTAATCTCCTATCTGGGCTAAAACAAAAGCACAGATGACTGAAGAGTGTTTTTAGCGAAATACAGGGATTCAAACTCAAGAAAGCCATGTGACACCGCGAAAAAAACAGACTTCAGGGTCAGACAGAACGAGATTTAAATTCTTAAACCATGTGTGACCTTGGGAAATTACTTCTCACAGTCTCAGTTTTCCCATGAAAATGGGAATAAAATGACCCACCTTACCATAAAAGGTAGATTAAAAAGGCATATAAAACACATACTTGAGTACCTGACATATAGTAAGTGCTCAATAAATAATAGCTACATATAATTACCTGCATTCGGGCTGGATAGAGATGCTGTGGCCACAGGCTTCCGTTTCCTCTTGATGTCACGTGAACATGGGGGTCCCAAGTGTATGTTTGCCTGTCTGCAGAGGCAACAAAGAAAAAATACTGTTTTAACTTTGTAATTCTCATTAAGACATTAGGTTCAGCTCAGATAAAACCCTTGACCCACTACAGAGATAGACCAACAAAATCAGCATCATCTTTTGCCATCAAGTGTCAGTTCAAGATTATTCACAATTAATCATAATTCACCCTTTACTCACAAAATATACCCATTCTCAACTTTTTACCTGATTAGCAAACTATCAGGCATTCAAGATTAATTTCAGTAAATATGTATTTCATTACATGCTGATTTTTGTACATTTTTCATAAAAACTATAACCTCAATTGTTCTAAGCTCACTAATGAAATACCTACTCCCAAGCGGTAATATATTGAAAAGTTTAATGCTGCATGAACACAGACATATGCATAGAATTTTAATAGGAAGTTTAACCCTTCTATCACTATATATCCAGATTTTTAATAGCGTCTGCGTAGCAAGTTTCTGTGATTCTTAAAAATATAAATTATGTGCTAACATTATGTCCCTTCTTCTGAATGTACAGCTTATTTTTTTATTTTTCTTTTTTAAGACTTTATTTATTTCCTTTTAGAGAGAGAAGGGACAGAGAAAGAGAGGGAGAAAAACATCTATGTGTGAGGGAGACATCAATCGATTGCCTCTTACACACACCCCAACTGGGGACCAGGCTGTAACCCAAGCATGTACTCTGACCAGGAATCGAACCAGTGACCTTTCACTTTATGGGACAATGCCCAACCAACTCAGCCACGCCAGTCAGGGCTGTTCAGCTTATTTTAAAAACAAAATAGTGATAGTTTCAATACTAGAAAAGCAAGATTGTCTGAGAAAAAATCGGCTTGACACTGGAATAGGTGGTATGCTATTTTAGTTCCCCACTTCCTCCTTCCTCTCAAACTAGACACATACTGCCCCTGATTAAGGACCAGGCGGAGTCTTGCCTTTACACAAAGTTTCCTTGAACATTCAGACCTTATCTACCATGAATTATTATGTACCTGCTGTACACAGATCTTGTTTCCCTAATGAGGCTTAATCTTCTTGAGAACAGGGACCATATTTGTATTTCTTTCATAATTTTCCAATGACCTTCCTTCCAACCCCAGCAAAAGGTACAGAGCTGATCCTCACTGAGTATCTGTTGACTAGAACTGATATGAATGAATAAAAGTTCTAAAAACCAAATAGCCAATTGTACACTAAAAATGATGAAAATAGTGAATTTTGTTATGTATATTTTATCACAATTTTTAAAAAATAGCCAGACTACGTAACATATAAAAAGAAATCTAGTAAAATTACACCAGATGAACTCCTAATTGGTAGTCCTAGCTGGGGATGAAGTCTCATGGCTTAATAGTCTTAAAACTGGAATCTCAATCAAATCCAAGAAAACTTGGTTAGCAAGGCAACAAGACAACTGCTGAATGGACAAATTTTCCTATGGGTGGGCGGCGGGGGGGGGGGGGGGGTCCCAATCTGTCAACTTTCACAGTTTAAAAGTACATACGCATGCTTCTCTCTCCCTTTTCCTTCCTTCCTTACTTTTTCCTCCCTCCTTCCCTTCCTCTCCCCGCTCTCATGCTCTTTTCTCCAAATAGCAAAAGCTTCAGAGAGCATTCAATGTATAAACAAGGAAAGAAAAAAATTGACTGAAATGTCAAGAAATTTTTTAGAGTGCAAAGAAAACCAAGATAGGCAGATTCCCAATATAAAGCCTGTGGCTTGGAAAGTCCATCCAAATCACCTTTTATCCATCGCTCTGTTCTGCATGGAAAGAGTTAATTTTAAGTATCCCATGAATAGTTAACTCCAAATTTCCAACATGAAATGTAAATATAAGTATGTAAAGGAGGGAAAACAATTCATTTTTCATACCGTAACCAAGTCCTGGGAATAAGTCTAAATCAAAAATAAAATAAAAATTAAAATAAAAGGTAGATAGATGTCAGAATGTCAAAAGTAGACAGGTCTTTAGTCTAAATGCAGAGCTGGTAAACAAGGAATTCCCTTGGAAATTCCCTTGGAAACCAGACAAAGGGAGAAAAGGAAATGACACCACAAAATTGCATTTCTCATAGCCCTGACTGATGTGGCTCAGTTGGTTGGGCATCATCCCAAAAAGTGAAAGGTCGCTGGTTCGATTCCCAGTCAAGGTACATGCCTAGGTTACGGGCTCGTTCCCCGACTGGCGTCTCTACGAAAGGCAACCAACCACTCAATGTTTCTCTCTCACGTTGATGTTTCTTTCCCGCTCTTACTGCCTCCCCATTCTCTAAAATTTTTTTTTAAATTTCCGTTTCTCTTCAAAACAGAGAAATGAACAGAACAGTTTCCATCTTCTCTACACACAAAGTACCTGAGTACATTCAGACTCAAACTGTTCAAGGGCTTTGTTCTAATTCAATCCTGCTTCTCCTAAAGTATTTCAGAAAGCAAAACAAGTCAAACCAAAGGGTAACAGTTTATATTCATGGTCTTTCTTCTTTACCTTAAGCTCATCAAACGACCCTTCAAAACTTTTTTGATTAAATGGTAACGCCATCTCTGGAAACTTAACTGTGTAGTTAGACACCAGGACAGCGGTTACCTTTGAGCTGCGGGGTGCAGAGGGAAAGGGACGGTGACTAGGAGCTCTGGGGGTTCGTTCTGGTAATGTTCTGTTTCTGGATGCTGAAAATTCATCAAGTATACATTTCTTTCTAAACTTCTCTTTATGTACATTGTCCTTCAATTAATTAAAAAACACTACTTCTTTAAGATCAATGTTTATAAAATGCTGTTTTAAGAAACAGATGCAAAATGGAAAGCTTAAGAAAAGTACTCAAAAGGGCTTTAAGATATCAATTCTCAGAGTCTCAGCTTGGGCTGAACTAAATAAATGCTGCCTTTTATTTACACTCCATCCATCATTTTCACAGCTTTGCATGTTTGCGATGTGTCAGTAGGATGGTTAAAGGCGCCTATTATGTCCCTCCTTTATGGACCTGGTCAGTACCACTTATCTCACGTTTTCAAGGAATGACACGTTTTAGAGTAAAAAGATGAAACCATTTATGTACCAATGTTTAAAATTTTAATAGAAATACAGTGGTTTTAAAAATATTTACTTTAATAAAATGAAAATAAGTATCACCTACTACTATGCACATAGGTTATCAGACTGCACTACATTCTGCAACGTCCACAGGGGACGGCTGTGACCGCAGAGACTCACGTGGTCCTTATGATGCCCGACTCTCTGGGCCACGGGTCCGCTATTCCCTGCTCGGTAATGTTACAGGCTTCAGGGTTGATTGTCCTTGTGTTAAATGCCTCCCAACTGCTAAGCCTCTAGCCTGTTCCTTCTTTTACAGTAAATGTTCTACTTCTCCCACCTCATTCCCACTCCTAATGGTTACCTTGAACATTCTAAATCCTCAAATTTTGTAAATTTCCTCTGGTTGTAACTTAGGACAGAACTGAAGGCTTTCCGAGGAAACCAAGTAACGAAACTTACTAAGTCAATGGCCTTATTTTGTTGTAAAAGTAAGTATTCTTCTGTGAACTATTTCCTTTCTACTCAGCAGGTTTCTTGCTTCTTCCATTGCTCATTGGGTTTTTAGTGAGCACTGGGGTATGATGGTAAACAAAACAGTCTCTCTCCTAATGGAGCCCGGTCCTATTTCGAGCTGCACAGCTTTCCAGTGACAGAATCTGAATCATAGAAAAACTGAGGCAGGGATAAAGGAAAGTCATGTTCATTCCTAAAACTCAGCTTAATGCTTCTTCCTTCTTAAAACACTTCTGTTAAGACCATTTCCAGGTTGGAGAGCTATGTTATAAGAGGAATAATAACATCACACCTTCGGGCTGAGTACAGAAGGGATATTTGTCTCAGAGTCTCTATGTCTCTTTCTAGTAAAGATCTGGAGAGGGAGGAAGACAAATAGTCAAATTGTTTTCCACTGTCCTTGTTTTGGTTTTAAATGAACACTAGTATGGTAGAGTTTAGAGCTTGGGAAAATCTATTTTTCCCTAGGAAGGCTCCATCTGTTGGGAAGAACCTTAGAGGACAAAGAAGGAAAAGAACCCAGAGTAAGCCTGGGGAACGCAAAGAGGAAGCTGAGCGCTTGGAGCAAGAGCGTTGACAGGATGCAGGAGCTGGAACGCGCCATGCTGCAGGGCACGCTCAGGACGCAGGAGGGACAGCCCTGCTCAGGGGCAATGGACAGCCCGTGGGGACACTCTGAACGTGGCGGCGGGCACCTGCTGCAGCCTCAGCTTTCTATTCAAAAGGCAGTTCCAGTTTTCTGTTTACCCCCAAGTAATTGCGTATCAGTCATCTGTAGACATAAACTACTAAAGAAGGGAAGGAAAAATAAAAAGACTGACCTACTCATTTCATTTCGGAATATTTAACCTAAACTGTGGCTTTTCTTTTTAATGTGTTATTTCTTTAACTTGTGTTATTTTGCTCTAACAGTATCATTGTCTATTCACAAAGTATAAACTGAAAAGGATAATGAACAAGCAAGATATCGCAAAAGACAGGGAAAAAGAGTCTGAGCTTCCCCTTCTCAGCACACCCTCTCCACCCATAGGGAGCCCCACATATGAATAGAAAGGGTAGAATATGTAAGATTTTTTAAAACTCTTTTTCAAGAGCAGTGTACAGCTGTTTTTGTCTTAACAAGCTATGTACTATATGTGGGGGAAGGGGGTCATTCAATAATGTAGTGGCTAAGTTAAGCTAAAAGCTCTACCAAGTTATTAAAACTTCCCTCTCAACTGAAGTGGCAAATGTTTATCAAAATGACATAAGGAGCTTTTACAAAATGCACATCCATCACCATGTTGTGGGGGGGAAGAATCAGTAGTATGTTTACTTTGAAGTTTCTCCTCAAGTAATACTGATAAGCTTCTACCTAATGTGAAAATGACTGAGTTAAAAAAATATACCAATTCCCAAAGCTAAGCTAGTAAAAAAAATGAGATCTAAATATTTAACATAAAGAATAACAGAATGATTAAAATGAACAAATATTTAGACAAAAATACTGTTTCCCGGTATACAGGCAGTTAACCCACAGAAACTGCAGGCCAGGCTTATTCAGCTTCGCCGGCGGGGGCCTCAGCGCTCCTCAGCACTTCTTCCACAGCACGAAGCCAGGTCAGTACGTCCCCTAAAAGCATCACATTCAGCAGCATTTGCCAAAAAGGATTTATGGGGGGAAGTGAGCATTAAAATCAACAAAAACAGACTTTAAAAATGTTCACTTCAGGAAAAGGCACTAACTTCCTATCATGGTGTAAGGTGAATGCTGAAGATTAACAACTAATTGAAAGCTCACTCTGTACACCCGTACAGAAACACGGCGTTTCGATTTTATTTTTCTGCAGGTGACTGACAGATCAGGTGAGCTGTTGCAGCCGCAGTGTTACTTAGGAGACTGGGCAGATCGCTATGTCCCTGGGGCAGGAATGTACTTTTAGGGGAAAAGAATTACTTGGAGAAAAACATGCATGTTTAATAGAACCAATGTTGGCAAAAAAAATAACTGAAGTGACTGCTGTAGACTTAGAACAAAGATGTTTGGAGCGAGTCCTAAGGAGAGAAACAGTCTTCATCTGCCAATGATGAGCTAATGGAAGGAACAGTTCACCTTCAAAAACCACTCATTTTAAAAACCCGATGGAAAGTTCATTTTTTTTTTACATAAAATTTATTGTGGAAAGGTATTTATTTGCTATACCTTTCCTTAAATACCTACAAAATAGTAACATCAAGAAAGAATGATTGATACTTCTAAGGGACAAAGGTCATATATATTATATATCCCGATTATTCTCCTCAGTTGCTCATCTATTTACCTCAACTACTTTTAACGAAAATGTACGCAGGCTCACCCTATGTGAAGCGCTGTGCTGGTGGTGGAGAGCGCATGCACAAGGGGACTGAGCCCGCGGCCCTTCCACCAGGAACTCACAGCAGTGAGGGAAGCTGGTGCATGAAGAACTAACAGATACGGACACCGGGACATAACTAAGGAACAAGCAAAATGCTGAGGTACAGTGAGGGGAAACAGACTTAAACCTAGGGAAGAAGAGATGCCCCTTTGCTCACATGTGATTTTATCTCAGGGGTAACTGGCATTTATTACACGCCCAGTAGGGAAGTATGACAGACTTGCATGTAGCAAAGGACCCAGGTCTCTGACACTAGCAGCAGCTAGGGGGAGAAAACCACCTCAGAATTACAGGACTCAGCGGAGGCTGATCTAACAGGAAGAGACCCTGGCAATTCCACTAGTATTTTCACTCAAACTAACCCTCAGCAGTCGGTGATAAACTGCTCACTAGCACCTGAAAGTGCTCCGTAATCTATTTCCCGTGGCTGAGCCAAGCTTGACATATCATGAAGCTGTTTCACGCCACCCACAGGAGCAGCGCAGCTTCCCATCAGCTGGAAAGACGGGTATATTACACTGGCAAAACAGAGGGGGAGAAAATGCTTTCATCGCTCCACTTAGGCAGGGAGATGCCAACTGGCTGAGAGCTGCTATAAACAAGACCCTCCAACAGAGGACAAAAAATTCAAGAACTGTGTACTATAAAATGGGAAGTTCCAGCAGAACTGGCAGCTGTGTGGACAATGTTAGAGCAGAAACATTTCCTACACGTGGGCAAAACCATGGCACTAAGAGGTGAGGAAGAGCTGCAGAGCATCGCGGCATCCACAGCAGACAGGAGGCTAACAAAGGCTCCTCCTCACAGGCCCTGAGGTAAAACCTGAGGCTGTTTACTGTGGCTCCAAAGGTCAAAATTAATAGCATGAATTGAGTCTTCTTCTTGCTCTTTGAAACTCCTTGTCAAGTGGCCCAGCCAGCTGGGCACACAACTCTGATATGCAGATCATAATGTTTGTGAACAGATAAAATGAATTACAATGAGCACAGTCTATCATATTTCAAATCTCTAATGGGCAGGAATATCTCTCTTTTTTACCCAAACACTGTCCAAATGCCTCCTCTTATAGTTCATTTGAGGCCGTTTAAGCGCCTCAAGAATCTGCACTACATCTCATTAGCAAACGGCTCTGGAAGCCGACTCACGAGTTTGTAAAACTGCAATTATCCCAAGGACAACGTAGGGTAATTATATAACAAAAATAATAATATTAGCTACCAGTATGTATCATATTCAAATACAGTATTTCATTTTGATCACCACTAGCCCAATAAATATTGATATTTCCATTTTAAAGATGAGGAAATCGAGGTACAGGGAGGTTAAATCATTTGCCCAGGTAAAGCCAAGATTCTTACCTGGGTCTACCATCTACTGCGATGAGATTAAGAACTTCAAGAAGAAATTAATGGAAATGGTGATGCATTACCAAGTCACTACCCAGAGCAGAGAAAAGGTCAGGAACGCTGGAGAAAACTCAAAGCTGCCATGAGACATTCAAAAACTACAACTGGTGACCTGTGCATCTTACAGAGAGATGCAGCAATTGGTAAGTTCTAGTTAGGGGTTTCTAAGGCAATAATGGTAAGAAAAGCTATCCTGGACGATCAATAAATCTCTCATTTTGGGAAAAGCTGCCTACAGCACTAGCTCCTTATTACCATTCTCTGACTGTGCCCTTGACAGTGAAACCGCTGCCTCTACCAGAACACCACTCACACCACCTACTGTCTGAGCCGCAGCAGTTCTTAACACAACACCAAGTGGACTGTTTTAACAGCAACGTCCCAGTCCCGGCAACCGAAACAGCCAAACCAAGCCGCTGGTTTCAGAATGTCATCCATGCAACCCGCCGACTGTCCAGCCACCCGCACACCCCCCAACAACTCCTCCACGGGGAATCACTGCATGCAGGGCACTGCGGTAAACCCTGACTAACGCTCTCCTCTCACCTCAGCAGTTCTCCAGCGCTAAGAGCAGGCCAGCGCTCTACGTCCCGCAAGAGATCACGCTCACAACATCAAAGCACAGAACGCGTGCCAATTATGAAATGAGTGCTCGCTTCTGCGGCACATAAACTAAAATTGGAACAACACAGAGATCAGCACGGCCCTTGCGCCAGGATGACACACAAATTCGTGAAGTGTTCCATTTTTTAAAAAAAAGATATGAAATGAGACTTCCTGTTAAGCAAACTACAAAGCACCAGTCACAAAACCATATGCATTTAGGACAACAGGTCTTAACCCTGTTTGTGTATTAGAGTCACCCAGCAGCTTTACAATAATGCCAATGCCTGGGCCCCATCCCAGATCAATTAAATCATAATCGTGGGAAGGGGGGCCCAGCATGAATATATATATATATTTTTAAAGATTTTATTTATTTATTTTTTAGAGAGAGGGAAAGAGAGAAAGACAGAGGAGAGAAACATCCATGTGAGAGAGAAAGATCCATCAGTTGCCTCTCAAGCATGCCCTGACCAGGGACCAAAACTGCAACCCAGGCATGTGCCCTGACCAGGAATCGAACCTGCGACCTTTCACTGCACAGGATGACGCCCAACCCACTGAGCCACACAAGTAGGGCCCAGCATGGATATACTTTTTAAAGCTTCTCAGGTGATTCCAAAGTGTAGTCTGGGTTGAAAACCACCAAACTGAAGTATCTCTACAGTGGTATTTCTGAAAACCTGTCAACCACAAAAATATTAGGTGGCACAAACACCACAAAGACTCCCTCTCCCATCTACTGCACCTGCTATCTGGGCTATATTAAAATGAAACATAAATAAAATGATCTCTTAAAATCATGGCCTCATCATCTCTCTGTTTGCAGCAATGAAACACTAAACAAGAAGGAGGCTTGAGGTCGTCACAGCCCCGCGGCCCCCAGGGCTCACGCTGCGGACAGGGCTGCACAATGGCCGCTCTAACAGTGGGGAGGTGGGCAAGGGGCCCTCCCTCTCACGCAGCTGAGTGTGGGGGACTGTGGAACTGGCCGTGTCCGGGCAGGAAGCAGCCTCAGCTCAATAACCCAACAGGAGGAAACCTTCACAGTTCAGGCACGATTATCAAACTCTTTGTGCTCTTAAAGGAGAGTAATTATAGGCATGTGAAAAAAGAAAAGCGCTCCCCGAGGAACTCTTCCTCACATGCTTCCCAAGAGGCACGAGGGCCATTAAAAATTCCATGATGAAGAGGAAAAACAGCCTGGGAACAGCCAGGAGGCAATACAGCAAATTAATACACCAGCCCTCCTCAGGGAAAGCTGTGATAAAACAGGAAACACTTCTCTCTTCGCAAAATAAAATTATACCACTAATGATAACATAGTCACCACCATACACACACAAATCGTTCTAATGATGGGTGTGAAATTCCCAGTGCTGCCCAAATGCTTTGAAAGGAATTTTTCCTACTACAGATAAAATGGAACAAGAAAAAGATAAAATTTCCATTCGAAACAGTTTTTAATACACTCCTTCACCTGCCTCTTCCCTACCACCACCACTCTTCAACATTCGCCTTCCTAGGCGCCAGGCTGTGTTAAACCGCCCACTCTGCGAAGCCCACCACCCAGTTCTGACTCCCATCTCACCCATCACCCATCAACTGGACCTGGGCTGCTGCTTCCTTCCTGACCACAGGCTGGGCAGGGCCCCCACTATCTCAAAGAAATGAGAGGGGGCTCCAGAGGCTCCATCTTTCACCGTCCACATTCTCTAAAAACTACAGAGAGGTCACTTGTGCTGGCCATTCCCACAGAGGAGTGGTCGCCAAACTTTATTGGGTGTGCACCCTCATGATTAAAAAATCTGAACACTCCATATACATGTAATACAGACACAAAACAAAAATAGGTGCTGCTAGACTAACATATGTACAATTTAAAACAAAAAACCCCATACATGCAGCCCACTTTGTGTCCACTACCCTAGAAATGGTGACTAGAAAGACAGAGTGAGCTCTAATTGTCCACACTCTCTCACCTTGCTTTTGGCAACAGGCAGTCTTTCCCTAAAGCCAAGTCACCAACGCATACCCTAGACTTCTTTATGTTTCCAAGTCCAGCTACAAGCACCGCCAGCAAGAGAATGAAAATAATGATGTGGATAATGAGGTACACAAAGAAACACGAAGTTGACACCCACTCCAGCTGGGAGGGGGCTTTACAGGCGAGAGGAACCCTGATGAGAGCATGGGTACTGGGCGCAGCCCAGCTCTAGGCAGCAGAGGTAAAGGAAGGCAGGCGAATAATTCACTTCCAGCTCTGACATGCTACGGTGCCACTTACAGTCTTCCCGAAGAGTGTACATGGCCATTTTTTTTTATTTAGTGTTAAGACTAAAAGCTTGAGGACTGCTTTCCTATAAATGGAAATCTTGTGTCTTCCAAGACAACTTGAACACCACCACCTCCTCTAAGAAAACCTCCCTGCGCCTGAGGTAGGGGCCCTGCTCTGTGCTTCACGTCATTCTGGTGCACACCTTTATGCGCTTAGCACTGCCTCTTGTGACTGTCAATTTCCACACCTGCCTTTCCCATGAGAATGGGAGCTCCTTAAGGGTAGTTTCTAATCAAAGAGCCTGGCGCCCAGTAGGGAGTCAGCAAATACCAAATGAATGAATGATGAATAAATTGCATACTACCAAAGAAAAGGCCTTATAGTAGTTTATCATCATCCCCCAATTTCACACTTTCCTAATAATGCCACTTGGGATGGGTCTCTCTTCTTGAAAGACTTTCCCCATTTAAATACTACTTCTGGTGGCTGTTTATGGTACAGAGTTTACTGTTACAGCTCATAATGGGAGTTCTAATAGTATCCATGAAAGAATAATTTCTTTGTGCCCTCTGTAACCCAAATCTATGAACATATGCATTTAAGAATGTATTAGGAAGAAAAAACAATCATCAGAACCTTGGAAAGAAATTCTTTGTGCTACTAGGAATAATAAAACTCTTTTGGTTCAGCCTATTAACTGCTCTTCTGTGAACAATAACCCTGCTAGGGAATGCTACAATTAAAACCATATTTACTTTGTATGTCTCCTAACTTGAGAGTTTATATTGAGAGGTGCTAAATTCATTCTGCTATGTAGATTTAGTCTGACAAATATATACTAAGTATCTAGTTAGTGCCAGACACTGTCTGTTAGATGCTAGGGCTGTATCAGGGAAAAAGATAAGGTCCCTGCACTTCCAACTTTATATTCTAGAAGGAGGAGAGAGTGGGGGTGAGGGAAGCCCAATAAAGTCATTATTGATGGTGTTAAGGCTCTAAAAAATATATACATAATAAGTAAAGAGTGGTAGAGATGGTCCCCTTAAAGAGGATGGTCTGAGAGGTCCTCCCTGAGGAGGCGGCCCAAGCTGAGAAGAAAAGGAGCCAATCCTGGAAACTGCTCTGAGACAGTAGTTCAAGCAAAGCGAGCACATGTGAAGGTTCAGAGGTAGGAAAGGGCCGCTGTGTTTGAAGAACAAACGGGAAATCCCTGGTGCAGAGAAAGAGGAAGAAGTCTATGAAAGGGGTCTGGACCCATAGCCAGAAGTCAGATTATGCAGGACTGTTCGTGAATACTAACAGTATTAGCGGTTCCTGACAAACGAGGACCACTAATACTGTTCTGTGAAGACGGGGCTTAGAGCAGAAGAAATATAAAATATGGGCCAGAAGACTTAGGTCAGACTTGAAACTTAAATAACATACTAGTCACATGACTACAGGAAAAATAACTCGCGACTCTACCTCAGTTTCTGCATCTGTAAAACATCCATTGACCTCAAAAGGCTGTTGCAAAGACCAAACTGGAGATGACACACAAACATACTTTAAAAGGTGTTATAAAAAGGAAACTGGTGTTGCCTGGAAGCAGCAGCCACCAGAAGACAGTTACCTGCCAGAGCACTGTGCAGGGGAACACCTCCGGTGAGAAGCATCAGCAAGAACATCCAGGGAGTAAAGGGGAGAAAGCGGATTGAACTGCAAAAATAAACAGGACTGCTTTAGTAAGGTTTATATGAAACTAACCTGACCTTAAAGGATAACCTGCTACTTGATTACTTCTCCCCTTTGACCATCCCACAGACACCGCTCCGTAAGGTCGCGCACACCCAGCGGTGTGCCCCGGCGCACCTCATCTACCGCACCTCGAAAAAAGACTATTCTTTTGCAAAAACTTCTGATAAACAGTAATTACTCAAGTGGCAGAAAACAGTACGATTGACCCTTGAACAAACATAGGGGTTAGGGGCGCCAACCCCAGCACAGTCAAATATCCATGTAAAACTTTTGACTTCCCAAAAACTTAACTAATAGCCTGCTGTTGACTGGAGGCCTTGCTGATAACATAACAGTCAGTGAACACATATTTTATATGTTATATGTATTACATACTATATTCCTACCAAAAAAGCTAGGAAATTTTAAGAAAATCAAAAGAGAAAATAAATTTCAGTATTTATTTTTAAAAATCTGTGCGTAAGCGGACCTGCCCAACTCAAATCCCTGTTGTCAAAGGTCAACTGCACTTTACAACTGACATAATGGAGACATAGGCCTACTGACCATCAGCCTCTGTGGCTGAGAAGCCTAGCACGAAATTGCCTTCCACTTCCCTATCCTGGCAAATGTGTCCAGTGAAGAGCTGGTTAGCACACACCAGCAGCACAGTGTAGTGAAAACAGAATGTATTAAGAATTAGAATAACTAACATTTAGCGCCAGTCTACCACTGAGTTGCCATATATTAAAGATGATATAATTTCTGAGCTTTACTATCCTTACCTGTGAAATGGATGTATCACTGACTGTCTTAACTATTTTACAGAGTTATTATGAGGACTGAATGAAACATTGCTTTAAGTTTATAAAGCGATTTCAATTTCTCACCTATGAAACATCTGTGGACCTCAAAAGGTGGTTGCGAGGATCAAATGGGATACTATATATAAAAGTACCTCACTTTATGTTTACTAGCTTTCTTTGGGTTTTTTCCACAATAAATAAACTTCACCCAGAATTTTAGAACTAAATATATTTTAAGACTTAAAGAACTCCAAATGGTAATTTCCAAAGAACTTACAAGAACACAAACTACGGCCCTGGCTGGTGTGGCTCAGTGGGTTGAGTGATGGCCTGAGAACTGAAAGGTCATGGGTTTGACTCAAGTCGGGGCACATTCCTGGGCACATTCCTGGGCTGCCAGCCAAGTCCCCAGTTGGGGGCATGTGAGAGGCAACTGATCGGGATGTTTCTTGCCCTCTCTTTCTCCCTCCCTTCCCCTCTCTCTATATATAAAATCTTTAAGAAAAAAATTTAAAAAGAATACAAACTACAGAACTGTTCTCTGTGTCAGAGGTTCCAGCCATAGCTCTATGAGCTCTATAACTTTGGACAAATAGTTTAAACCTCATCTCTAATTAACAGATCTGGACAGGGTGACCCTTAAGGGTCCCCCTCTGCCTTATGTCCTCCAATGCAAACATGATGAGCACTCTAACTCAGAGCTCCCCCAAATGCAGTCTCTGCCTGCCACCTGCTACTTTTATATCAATTATTATTACACAGCCTTGTCCTTACTCTAGTTCTGTGAAATAACGAGTTCGCTATAATGATTACATTTATGTTATAACTGATCACCAGGATAAAGGAACCTCTTTCCCTTCTAAAACCCAAAGGGTCAAACATAAAGGAACACTAGCCACTGTCAGTAATTTTTCAATTATGACCCTTACAAAGGACTCAACGTGCCAAGGGCTCCCTCAGGGGCTTGCTAGGGACAAGACTAAGAGAACAAGACTTCGAGTCCTTGACCCCACTTCACCCAAAGCAGCTCTTCCTCCTTCTGTTTCATACGCGTAGGCTTCAACATTTACTTCTCAGCACAAGACTCTGATGTTGAAGTAAACCATAGCAGATGAGGTTCATTCTGATTTCTCATTGCAAAGTTCAAAACTAAAATAAAAATGGGGTTCCCATGAAATATGTGTTATAAGTAATACACTAAAGATCACAGCTGCACCTAACAAGGGGAATTAGCTATAGTTCTTATCAGTGAATATCTATTCTTGAGAAACAGTCCTCCAAGAAAATCAGAATAACATAGAGAATAGGAACCTTACCTCATGTGCACAAGCAGAAATGTGAGGAAAATCAGAAGCCAACACTTTATTCTTTCTAAAGAGAAGGAAACCAAATGATAAAATAAAGATAACAAAGAAAAGACCTTACCTGATTTCGTTCCCTTTTCCCAGCTGATGGTAACCAGAAACTAGAGAGAGGAAGAGAATAACAGTAAAGAAAACAATAAAAGAAGTGGTAGGAAAATTATAGAGAGGAGGAGAACATATAAAGATCTTGGCATAATGAAGTGAATACAAAGAAAGAAACGGGAAAAGATGGAGCTGAAGGAGAAAAGGAAAGAGATGTTAAATGTGTATGAACCTTTTTTGCAGTAAATAACTCTTTGAAGGAAAAAGCCTTGTAACAGAATGTAAAAGACCAGACACTCTACCAATACACCGAAAATTACACCAATGCTATCTCAGCTGTGCAGTGACAAAAGGATCTCCAATTCAACAAGGGCATAAACCACACACACATCTTGCCTATTTTGTAAATTGAAACTTTGCCCAGGCTGGATAGGTATCGGATCGTAACTGGGTACTGACCATGACGTGTGCAGTGGATATCAAAAAGCCAATCATGTTAGGGGACCAGGCTATCACAGGAAAGGGCGGAATGATTTCCCCATAGCTACGAACAGGCTTCTTAGTTGTACTCATCACAGTAGTTAGCACAGAAAGCTATTTTTCTAGATAGAAGTCGGAAAATGGGAAGAGAATAAAAGAGAATGTAGAGGCAATCAGCCATTGTGGACCAAAAAAAAATTAAGAGAAAAAAAAATGAGTTTAAATATAACATCTTTATTAGGGGCCACTTTTATAATACAGCACCTATAAATATAAAAAGCAACAAAATAAAAACTACTTTAGAAAGGAAAAAATAATCACTCTCCAAGGTTGAGGGTATTAGCCACGTTGACTGTTATAAAGTGCAAATCTTTAAGATCTCCTCTTTCAGCTCTGAAGTCAGGTTTCTAGGTTCCTTTATAACACTTTCCTCTGCCTCCTTCTCCTAGGGACAGACTAGAATAGCCAGTAAAGACATGAGCACTTACTCTTTGTGTCGAGAGTCACTGATGATGTGGCCTATCCTCTCAGAACCCAAAGTACTTATGCTGGTCTCCTGAAAAGACAAGGAAGGCAAGAGTGTCATCTAACCACAGAAACAAACATATAAAGCACAACCTGTCAATCAAGCTCACACTTTCCCATAACTGTACCAGCAATTTCAAAGGGACTTGACAAATGTCAATCTTAAAATCCAACAGCAACTACATTTCTTTTTATAGGAATCTAACTTAGAAGTATTTCATGTTACCCTAGACTTATTCTTCTCTAGTTCCAAAAAAGTCATTATAAACATTGTTTACTATATATAGTATTTTATTAATAGTAATACCTCCTGGAGTTACAAAAGTACATAGAAATAAAAATACTTTTTTAAAAAATCCAACAGCAGCTGACTGTTACCAAGCTAGCAGCACCTCAAGCTCCCACAGATCATCTGATTACAGCCCAAGCAGCCTTCATAGCGAAACATTTACAGAGTCCTCACTGGTAACACCAAACTACCTACTGAGTAAATATATACACGTCAAAGAACTTCTGCAACTTATAAAAACTGTCGCCCTGCCCTTTGTTAAATGTCATCTTAAGTAGAAGTTTGTATAAATTAGTTCTTAAATTTGGGGTTCTAAAGACTGCAATATGCAATGTTACCATCACACTATAAACAATTCCGAAACTAATCATCTCCAAAAAATTGGAAAATGACAGAAGGCACTCACCCTCCACGTGCTGTGAGCACATTTACAATGAATATCCCAGTACCTGGCGAAGCATACCAACAGTATGCAACTAAGAGTTATGCACAATATGAGTAAGCATTAGGGTGAGAGAGCATAAGTCACAGCCGTGAATATCAAGAATGTCAAGCCTGTGACTCAAACATATTTGTTTCTGGGTAAATATTATTATCTGCTTTCATTTATGTGTAATTAGCTTAAACACTAGGATACACATTTTAACAGAACTGGCTATAGAAAAATTAATTTGAGGTCAGAATTCTGGGTGGGAGTGGAACTAAACGAAAAGGTTTCACATACTGTATTCTTCATATTCTTCATCCCTTATGCCTATGCCTCCTGGTCACAGACAAAGCCATGGTAGTGGGGCCAAGGGAAAAGATGGGTGAAAAATGAGCTATTTGTTACAGCAGAAAAATTACTAACTTAAAGTGCCGTAATGTTTAAATTTACAGTTTATTACTGTGTAAATTACAAGCAGTACTTTGCGTAATTAGCAGCTCGCTGGCAGGGAGCTGTGAATGAAACTCATTATTTATGATTACAATTTAGAAAAAGAGAAGAGGGATGGGGAGGGGGGAGAAAGGGGGACAGAACAGTGACCTCTGCTAAAAATGACAAATATCTCTTTAAGGTGATGAAGATGAATTAAACAAGTAAATATTACTCTATTCATCTGAAATCCTTAGAGAGGTCCAACAGGCCCTAGTTTTCTTCCAGGCAAACTAAAGGGAGCCTTCAACATGAGATGATTTACTCCCACGGAAGTGGAAGTCTCTTATTTTATAGGAGCCAAAACAAAGTAAAGTAGGAGGTAGGAAAATACTGTCTGTCAAACTTAACAAATAAAGAGAAAAAAAACCAAACCATTTCTGTCACCTGCTCACAACCTCCTGCTTCCTTCCACCCCATGTACTCACTTCTACCCACTGGCTATCAAGAGTAAGCACCCAGAAGAGCAAAAGCAGCGTTTTATTGTCGGGAAAATGAGTGATCCAAAAGAAAAAGGTATCATTCTTCCGATAATCAAATGTCTTTCTAATTAGACATTTGAAATTGAATTTAAAGATAAAAAGAATCTAAGTTCATCTCATAAATAAACAGCCTCATTTCTTTTGCATGACTAAAACTGCAAAAAAACAGCTCTCTAATTAAATTATAAATTAGTAGCTCTCTGACGGCAGCCCGACTGTGGCTCTGACCACTATACATCCAGCTTGGCACCGAGCCTGCCACGCGGTAGGCGTTCCAAATGCTTACTGAGGAAACAAACCAATTAATACTCTAAAATGCTCTCCCTTCCTCACTCTTTGCCCACCACCATCTTCTTTGACTGAGTATGAGCCCCATTCTCAACTTATATTCAATCTCAAAGCTAAAGTAAACCATAAATAATTTTTAAAATTTAAATAAAACAATAAAAAAGAGAAATAGACAAGGGTTCAATTCTCTACTCTGCCACTTCTATCTGGATAACATCAGACATTACTGAACTTCTCTGAACCCAAGTTTTTCTCACCTGCTAAAGGGGAATAGCACCATTTTTACAAGGTTGTTGGGAGAATTAAATGAACTGAGCGCCTAGCACAATCCTTGGAAAAGGCAGAACTGAGTTATACATTCCTCCCTCATGGCCAGTGAGGGGGTTTTGAAATTTGACAAGATTTTTCCCCAGTTTTTTTCTTTCTTAACAATTCTGGAATAAAAGGCCAAAGACAAAAGAAGCATCCATGAATTCAGAAGGAGTCATAAAGAAGCCAGGAGTATTTTAACTTATATAATAACAACATAAGATTAATCAAAAGAATAGAAGAGACAAGAGATCAGACCTGAAGATTTATAGACAATAGATACTGTCATGACAGTGTTTGCTTTGTCAGAACTTCTGCATGAATTAAACTTTATCCTTTATGCATGTATCCATTCTTAAGAATGTATTCCAGCAAATATTTAAGCAAAATATTCCAGCTGGCATAATTAACTTCAGGGTGTTCTGCAGCACCTCTGATTATCAAGAAGGTACACAAATCCCATAGGAAACATCATCCTCCCACTGAGCTTGCTCAGCAATAAGAGCTATCACCTTCCCAACAAGCCTTCTTCGCCCCTTTCTGAGGCATCGAGCTGCAGCTCCAGGCAGACGATTCAAGCGAGCATGGTACCCTAAAAAACAAAAAGACCTAAGTAACTGAATGCAGAAGATTCCTTAGCAATGTCATGCTTCTAGTATCGCAGATGCCTTATCACCCAGGATCTACTAGACTGACCCTTAAACTAGTATCACTGGCTATTTGTCAAAGATTTATTATTCCTGTATTTTTGTCATCAGCAGTATTATATCAGGCATGTCATTTACCTTTGACCTAGGCATTCTCATCTATAAAAGAAGGATAACCACTTGCTTAGTCCTTCTTATAGGGGTGTTTTGAAACCAAATTAAATAGTACATGGAAGGTACTAATAAACTGAAAAAAACTAGACAAATATAAGATATAATCGAGAATTTGTAATTATAAGTTAAAGGCTACTCATTAGTCAAAATGATTCTAATTCATGAAATAATGGTAAAAATAGCCTGCATAATCTAATTCCATTTTCCCAACTGCTTTATGCATTCTACACGCAGAACAGACAACTGGGAAAACCACACCAAAATGTTATCAATGGCAGTGTCTCTGGGTGCAGGTCATTTTCAGTTTCTTCTTTTTCCTATTCTTGCTTATTTGTGTGTATTTTAACTATTCCATAAAGAGCTTTTAGACATGGTCAATGAAATGTTCAATAAACGTTATTAATGTAGCAAACAATGTGCCTCAGTAGAGTAGTCTTTAGAGAAGTCTTTCAACTTCTTTGAGAAGGGCTTTCAATCACCCAAATTCATCATAATGAAACGTTATTAAAGTTTACAGCTCTGGGTGAAATTCTGACCACCAACAGATGTTTAACAAATACTTGATAACTGACTAACTGGATACTAATTGATTACTGAGAATCCTGTAAATTTATAGAGCTAAAAGAAATTTCTGAAACAGTTTTGTTCAATGTCACAGTATCTTAAATGACCCTGACAACCCAGGGAAATTAAGTGACTGTCATAGTCAGAACTAGAGAGAAAGACACCCCCAGAGAGTATTATCACATTTCCTTCTCCCTGTCCTAGGCTCTTTCCACTCCACCTGGCTGTATCATTATTGAAGGAAAAGCAAAGGGAAGAGATATATATTTGCGTTGAAGTCCACCATAACAGAATTATTAAAATTATTTCTTTAAGATTTTATTTATTTTTTGAGAGAAAGGGTAAGGGAGGGAGAAAGAGAGAGAGAGAGAGAGAGAGAGAGAGAAAGAAACATCAATCAGCTGACTCTCACACAACCCCACTTGGGGACCTGGCCCTCAACCCAAGGCATGTGCCCTGACCGGGAACCGAACCTATGGCCTTTTGGTTCGCAGGCCGCTGCTCAACCCACTGAGCCACACCAGCCAGGGCATTATTAAAATTACTTAAAGAATATTTTTAAATCATCCATTCAAAACATCCACTGTAACTTGTATATGAATGTGCTTACTGAAATCTGTCCCCTTCCCAGATCCAATGCTTCAGGCTTCCAGGAAGCACTCAAAAGCCCATCAGTCACAGAAGGATAAACAGCCGTGGCAGGCTTCCACATCTGGCACAAATGGCAATGGCAAGCTAAAGGAGTGTCCTGCTAATATATATCCCAAGAGTCTCCAAGGACTGATTTAGGAGAGAACCTCAAGTGTTGAGACTCACCCTTGAATCCTCAAGAAAATTCCCACGACTAGCTCCACGGTTCAGATAGTGCGTGCTTAGAGGAAGAAGAACATGTGTACCATGGGGTGGTTCTCCCCGCAGAAAACCGTGGAAATGTGAAGTGTATTTTGGTCTCCTTAGAACTTACCTCTTTGAGCTGGCCGAGAAGGTAAAAGGAACGTGGAATCTGAAAGTTTATCCAGGCCAGAATCCATCCTTTCTACTTCAGAGCAATGATCAGGAGCCCACTTGGGCAGAAGGTTAGGGACAGTGAATCCTGGGACACATTCTCCTTCATAGAACCAATCACTCTGCTCGTCATCCCCTAAAGAAAGAGATCATTTTCATAAGCTGGAATTTTAACATGCTCTGTCAAAAACCACATGGGAGGATGACTTCTCAGTGCTATGGGCTTAAGTATACTTTTAAATAAAGTCAAAGTACAAAAAATTGTTTTGATCCTTCTTCTCGATCTGTATTATGATGGAAACTGGACACTAAACTACTTTCACATAAATTTCATAATGTGTTATGCTGGACTGCTTTTAATAGTACAAAACTAAAGCTACCACTCACTAAGCCCTTGCCACCTACCAGGATCCATGCTAAAAATCTATAAATACATTATCTCTTCTAAACCTTACACTAGCTCTAGCTTACAAATGAGGCAGCTAAAGCCCAAAGAAGTCAAGGTCAAGATAGTATATGATGAAGCCAGGATTTGAACTCAAAGCCTGATTAACTCCAAAGCCTTTACCACAAAAATAAACTGCTTCCCATATACCATCCTCAGCAGTATAAATGAACTTAGGGATTCAAAGCCCACAAATGGTTCTCAGCTCAAAACTGGCTGATCCTGGGCAGATTTCGTACTATATTTGCATTTTTCATAATAGGTAAATAAAGAATGTATATTCATACCTTGTTTTTTCCTCGGTACCTCACTGATAGGACAGAAAATCATCTTGACCCTAGCAATACAAGCTACTAGGAAAAAACTAATCATAGAAAAATAATATAATCCCCCACAGTTGATGTCAAGAAGTTATATCATTTGCCCAAGGCCATACTCTTCAATAATGACAAAGTCAAGACTAGACCCATATATCCAGTCTCCTGGTTCAAACTTCTTTCTATTGGCTGAAATGATAGCATCTCAGTTTCCAATAGTTTATTCCTGCCAAAAAAGAGTAAGATGGGTAACTTTAGGTCTGCCACCACCACCCCTCTTTCCAAATAGCAAGGATGATGGAAATTCTTACAAGAACATCTAGAGCGCTCATCATGCATTCACTCTTCAATGTGTACTGGATCCCAGGGAAGCTGTTTGGGACATGCTGATCTCATGAAGTATTAGATTCATGGGCTACTAACACCCAGGAAAATGACAGCTCTTAAATCACTGTGGAGATCACTACACGGGGAAATTAAAGCTGCATCCTGGTGAACAGTAGCAGATACTGCCACCAAACAGGTTAAAGTGTTCCCTTAAAAAAGGCACACCACCAGCAGCTGTTTTCTCTTAGACAGTGGTTCTCAACCTTTAGTGTGCATCAGAGGACAAGGGGGGCTGTTAAAACACAGACTACTGGGCCCCAGCCCCAAAGTTTCTGAGTCCGTTTTGGGCAGGACCACAAATTTGCATTTCTGATGAGTTCCCTAGGGATGCTAAGCTAGTCTGGGAAACCACCATTTGAGAACCACCACTCTAAAAGCATCGCATCAAACCATGTACGCAGATGAATTAAAGACAGGTGTTAGAATTAGTTTCTCTATATTTCAATATATTAATTCCTTTCTTATTAATAAGCATTCTTTAGGCCATTTATTAAAATAATATATTGAGCCAGACCGTGTTTTCTGATGACAAATGGCAAGCTATCATGGAAGGTTTTTGGTTCTCAAGCATTCACTCAAGATTTTTGATAATATGAAAAGAGACTCACTGAACTGGAAGCAACCTTGTGAGATCATCTAGACCCGCAGTCTTCAGCCTGGGTGCACGAGGGCGCCTGATGCAGGAGCTCCTCAAAAGAGCGCTGCCAGAGAATAAGGAAGAGGCTCAGTGGGCCAGGCTCCCGACGCATCGCTCCCTCGGGCTCTTGTCTTAACCAGAGTCAGTTTAGCTGTTTTACAATTTGAGGTTCTATGTACAGTTCTGTTGGAGGGGAAAAAAGGATAATTTTCCCCTTCAACTGGGCTTCCCAATAATTATTTACTATGAGTTCACTCCATGCCAGGCAATGTGTTACCTACTGTGGTTGCAAATAACTATTTTTACTTCCCTGACTTTGAAAAGCTTCAATGGAAAAGACACTCATCTACAAACAACGACGTGGTATGGCAAGTGGTAAGAAAGCAACAAGTACAGGGAAAGGAAAGAGTAGGGGTTCTGGGAGATGGTGCCTACAGGGAGAGCATCCTTCGGAGCCCCTTCAGGAAACACATGCACACTGAAATGGGGTGACTGAGACTTCAGTGAAGTGACTACTAACAACGGTACAGACAGCACTGAGGGAAAGAAACCAGTAAGGGCTGGGGAAGCCCCCAGCAGCCAGCACAGCAAGGAGTCTTTGCCATCACTAAGCCTGAAGTAGCTCGGGAAAGCGTGGGTGTCAGAGCCCAGAGTGCGAGCTGGGGCTATAGGAGAAGGCTGCCCAACAAGAGCAGTGGCCTTCAGCAGCAGAACGCAGCCACGGCCAAGCAGCAGTGCACAGGAGGGTGCACAGGGAACGCGGGACTCCGAGGTGGTGGACTGCGTTTCCTCCTCACCACCCCCACCCTGTGACAGAGTGAGACGCCCAGGCCCTCGGCCACAGGATTCCTCAGGGCCCTCCCCTCAAGGCAGAGTGCAATTTCTCACCCCGCAGCACCGGCCTTGGTCATTTGACTTGCTTTAGGTAGTAGAATATTAACAAATGGTTCAAGCAAGAACTTTAAATGTTTGTGCATGGTCTGGCTTGGTCACATGGCATTCACGTCCTCTGGCATAATAAGTCCCTGAGACACATAGCCAGTGCTTCTTTAGCCTAGTACCCAGAATAAGATGCACTGAGTAGATACAAAACCTAACTGCAAGTCTGGACACCAACTGAGCCAGATCAACTGAACCTCAGGTGACCCCCTGGCCCCACAGTAAGAAATAAAAGTGAAAAACCACTGAAATTTTAGGGTTGTGAAACAGCATTATCATAATAAAAACTTGACTATTATACCCAATCTCATTCACCTCACTCCCTCCCTCCATTCTTCCGCTCATGCCTCCTACTGCTCAAACCCATGAGGGTAAGAAAACCTACTGATGTAGCCCATACATAAGCCCTGGAGAGGCAAAAGGAGACACGTGTGTTTGTGGAGGAGCAGCCATTCAAGGAAAAGTGAGGATGAGATTTCAGGCAGAGACCAGTATAAACAAAGACATGGAAGCAGGAAATAACAGTGCTTTGTGCTAAGAACTCTAAGCCTCTAAAATATCACCAGAATGTGTGAAATTGAGGAACAGAAGAAAAGAAAGGCGGGGCTATAGAATACTCCACAATCTTTCATGACAAACCAAGGATTCCTCATCAGTGGAAAGGTTTTCCAAAGGCCCAAAACAATTTGTTGTAATAGGCCCACACTTTCTTGCACCTCTGCATAATTACGCATCATAGCCTTTTAAGAGATGTATGATGATACTTCCATAGCATCGCAGTAAAAGCCTAGAAAAAGAGTAATTCTGAACAGTATGCACCAGCTCATTCATGGAAAGACAACTACTTTCTCAGTACAAGATAAAAAAAATCAAGACCCTGGCTAGAACCTACGAGGGAAAACACACACACACAACCTCAAATGCCACGTAACTCCCTCAGAAGCAGAAAGGAACAGAAATGTGCTCACAACCGCCACACAGGAGGAAGCCTAACAGCCCCATCCATGCCCACGACTCTGCGGCCCAGGGGAGATCCCCCGCCCACGGCCTCTCCAAAATCAGGACTTGGACCCGAGTCTCACAGTGCCAGGACCCCTTCAGTGACCAGGGAGCCTATCTGTATCAATCGAGACATGTAGCCACCATGCTTCTGCCCTTCAATCACTTGACCCTTGGGGAAAAATCATTCGATTTCAGAGCTAGAAGGGACTTTAGAGATCTACAGATCCCTTATTTAGAGGAAGAAAACTAGCCCAAAGGAGCTATATGAAATCCTTATTTGTGCACGGATGTATAGTGTGGCCCTAAGCAAGTATACAGGACAAGAACAAAGTTTCAAATTACTGTTTAGGTAGTAAAAATAAAGAACTTCTAGTTAACACACACCAGTTTTATTCACAGTGTTCTATGCTAAACTGCAGGAGTTTTAACTTTACAAAGATGTTTTCTCTAACATATTCGCCCAGAACACTGTGACCATTTATAATTAAGATTATAAAAATAACAGCCGGAAAAAAGAGTAATACATGAGGGTATTTTTGGGTTCTAGTAAAGAGCAACTTCCCAAAGTCCCATCCTTGACACAATAACCCCTGGATCAATGATTCTCAAAGTCTGAGCTATCTGCATAAAAAACACAGCACGTGCTTGTGAAAAATGCAGATTCCAAGGGCAAACTCTCAACCTACTTGATGTCTAGGAGTTCAGGAATTTGCAGTTTTAACAGTTCCCCAGACAGCTCCTATATGCCCTAAAGTTTGAGAACCACTGCTATAGACAACCGTCATATTCTCAGTGACTCCCTCCTATAACCATTAAAACCTCCCTAAAGCTGGGATCAAGATTACCTTGCCGTCCTTCATCATTTGTAAAGAGCCCTGGGTCACTGCTGCTACACACACTGCTGGTTTCACTGAAAGAAAAAAGAGTAAAACAAAGACAACACATCAGCTCCAGTCAAATACAAAGCACTGGCCATTCTTCTGGTTTTCAAATCAAAAGTTTCCCTAATTTCATTAGTCAATCAAAAATACAAATTTCATGGTTAGGCCACAGGGGAAAGTTTATTAAGAAGAGAAGAATTCTAAAACTTTTATAAATAAAAATCTAATAAATAAATTTAAAAATAAATACAAATCTATTTCAAAGTACCTTTAAAAATATTTAAAGTCACTTTGTTAGTTTAGCATTAGAAAGTTATTTATTAAGGCTCATAGAAATAACCTCAACTTTTTTTGTATATTAAACAACATAAATTTACAAATTTACCAACTTTATTTTAAAATTTTATCAACTATCAGTTTTAAATAAAGCTATCCAACTTTAAGACATCTAGCATCTCTCAAGTTTTTTGTTCACCACCCTCGCCCCCCCCCCCGCATTTACAAAACAGCAAACAAACGAAAATCCATGAACAGGGAAAAAAATCATTATGACAAGTTATATTTTCTAAATTTATTGTCTTCCTTCACATCAAGCATATACAATAAAACTCTTTCATAAAGGAAAATACAAAAATATAAAAACAAACTCCATTTGAACTCATTGAAATAAAACTTTTGCCCCATAGAATCCTTTCCAGCAAGTTTCATTTTCTGAGCTATTGCTAACAACTGATCGTGCTTCTTCTCAGGCTGTTTTTCTTTCACATAACCATCAAGTATGATTTATCCTGTTCAAGAAAAATTCTCTATTCTCTATACTATTAGCTGTTTCCTTGACTGGGAATGTTTCCTTCCAAGCTATTTCCTTTTTTTCACCTGTTCTAGAAGATGGAAGAAGCCAAAGCAATGAAGAAACATTCTCACCATGCTGCATAAGGCTTGGCAAAATCCCAACCTACATTTCTACTCAAAAATCTGAAAATATTTTGTATTTTGCAATACGTCCAAATATCTTGCCAATACTAAATCCTAAAACTGTTGGTTAAATTAAGTAGCAATGCTATACTCACTTAAGCTTGTCTCTGAATAGCAGATCCAAGAGCTCTGTTGAAGCAATAGCCAATAAAACCAGTTTTTTTAAAGGTTCTTTCATTTTATTTTCTTCTGTACTTACATATACGTGGGAATAGTCTCAGGTGTCGTTATAAGAAATCTTACAAAACTACTCCCCTGGATTCTGATGGATCTAAAATCTTCAAAGGGCTCTGCAGTGATATCCAGAAGGCGTCCTCCCAGGCTACTGTGTTCTTCCTACTCGTGAGTTCGCAGAGCTGTGCCTGCTGAACTTAATGACTTTGTTTCTGTGTTTTCAGCAACTTCCTAAGCACATTATTGGTCCAACTCCAGTGAGTTTTAACTACACATCCTCTCATATTACTATTTTATTATTCTCATCTCACCTCAAAGATAAAGCTAATTTTATATTTTCAACTCCTCTTAATTTTATATTTTCAACTCCTCTTGATGCAAAGGAGGGCTTAAAAAGCACATTAGGCCATGGGACAGATATTCTACTCTACTATCGTGTTATATTCTTTATTGGCTAGCAGTCTCGCTGAGATTTAGGGGTTAGCAAACAACAGCCAGCTACCTATTTTTATATGGCCTGTGAGCTAAGAATGGTTTTCAGTTTTAAATCCCTGGGCAGGGAGGAGGAGCGCTGTTGGGCAGGGCGGGGGCCGGGGGGCGGGTGAAATAAAAAGAAAAATATTCTGTGGCATGTGGAAATGATATGAAATCCAAATTTCAGTGTCCATAAATAAAGTTTTACTGAAATACAGCCACATTCATTCATTTATATATTCTCCATGTCTTCTCTTGCACAATAAATGCAAAGTTGAGTATTGCAAAAGAGAACACACTGCCCAAAAGCCCTAAAATATTTACTACCTGGCTCTTCAGAGGAAATTTGCTGATCCCTGATCTACATGTATTACACATTCTACCCTGCAATGTCTATGGTCCCCTCTGTTTGAATATTTCCAATTAAAAAATTAAAACTGTTGCTTTATTATAAAGTCTTATCAATTCTTATCCCCATTCATTTCCAGCTACTGGTAGGCATTACAAGATACAGAGCAAACTTGATCTTTTTTTCGCATGGATTCCATTCTCTCCTCATATTGTAAATAAAAGGGGCAAGCTCAAAGAAATCTGCTGAATCAAGAAGGGTGTTGGTAACCTAAACCCTTCCCATCAATGTACATTTTCTATTTTTGTCAATGGCATTTAAGGAGACCCACTGTTCTTGAAAGAACTTCTTGGACTACTCTCTTCTATAAATTTCTATATATAGTTAATTAGAGTAATGGTAATGATATCACAGAACTATCATTGAGGTTTTAAGATTATGATCAAAGGAAATACATATTTTCTTCAAGAAAATGATTTATATCTTAGAGAACTCTTAGTTAAAAGTATCATCATTCTTACCAGTATCTGGAAATGACTATTTCATCTGATAGCACCTGCTGATTCTATCACTCAGAAGAACTTGCACTGTAGAAATCTAATGATATGTATGAAATTGTTAACATAATTTACCAAAAGGAAAAATAGCAGAAACTCATGGCATGTTTGCACATAAACACCATGATATAGCATGCAAAATATGGTGCTACCTATAAAGTAGAACCAAATTATTTCCCCTTCTAAGTTATAGGCCAAAGTTGTCCAGTGCTGTGGCCTTCCTTCATTTCTGGCTCAGAGATTATGATTTTCAAATAAAATCATCTCCAAAGCAGACATACAGATGGGCAATAAACATATGAAGAGTCCTGGTTGGTGTGGCTCAGTGGATTGAGTGCCAGCTTGCGAACCAAAGAGTCTCCGATTCAATTCCCAGTCAGGGCACATGCCTGGGTTGTGGGCCAAGTCCCCAGCAGGGAGCATGTGACAAGCAACCACACATTGATGTTTCTCTCCCTCTCTTTCTGCCTCCCTTCCCCTCTCTCTAAAAATAAATAAAATCTTTTTTAAAAAATGAAAAGATGCTCAATATCACTAATCATCAGAGATATGCAAATTAAAACCACAATGAGGTATCACCTCACACCTGTCATAATGGCTATCATCAATAAATCAACAAAAAAGTGTTGGCTAGGATGTAGAGAAAAGGGAACCCCCACGCACCGTTAGTAGGGATAAAGACTGGTGCAGCCACTGTGTAACAGCAGTATGGCGGTTCCTCAAAAAATTAACAATGGAACTGTCTTATGACGCAGCAATTCCACTTCTGGGAACATATCTGAAGAAAGCCAAAACACTAATTTGAAAATACATGCACCCCTATGTTCACTGCAGTGCTATTTACAATAGCCAAGCTATGGAAGCAACCCAAGTGCCTATCAATAGACTAGTGTATAAAAAAGCCGTAGCACATATATACAATGGAATATTATTCAGATATAAAAAAAGAATAAAACCTTATCATTTGAGACAGCAGGGATGGACCTAGAGGGTATTAGATTAAGTGAATTCAGTCAAAGACAAATACCATACAATTTTTCACTTACACGAAGAATCTAAAAAACAACATAAACAAAACAGAAACAGCCTCATAGATACAGAGAACATACTAATGGTTGTTAAAGGGGAGGGCGTTGAGGGACTGCGTGAATAAGGTGAAGGGAGTAAGAAGCACCGATTGGTAGTTATAAAATAGTCATGGGAATGTCAAGAACAACATAGGGAATGTGATCAGTGAGACTGTAATAACCATGTAGGGTGCCAGGTGGGTACTGGCAATATCAAGGGGGATACTTTGCAAAGTAGATGACTGTCTAGCCACTATGCTGTACACCCAAAACTAATAAAAATAAAACTGAATGTAAACTGTACTTAAAAAAATAAAAATCAGATTAGTAGGATTTTAGTAATGATTTAATCAAGTGTAAAATGTTAATTTGGCTAATTAAACAGTGTTTAATATTCTGCTAAAAATGGGCTCCTATCTTTTCAGTGAAGTCAATTTTCTTTTAGCATCTTTGTAGATCACAAGGTCAAAACAGTCAACAGATGCCAGGCCCCTAAATATATCTCCTATTCCAAAACCTTCAAATTTGTTTACTTTTCTTTGCGCTGAGCCTTTTTACTAGACAAGAAAAAGAAGCTCTGATTTTTATTTTTGTAAGGAAAAAAACGTGATCCTACCTCTAGTGTCCACGTCAACTGTGGTCCTCTGAAGCTCAGTCAGGAAGACAGAAACTCAGCCTTTATTAATCTTCAGGAAAACTAACAAGACAGAGCCCACAAAACTAGCGGGTAATGAAACTGCATCTTTTCCTAAAATGGCAGCAACTCCTGGAGGCATCAGCGCCTCCCGGTTTTGCCAGGGGAGCTCTTCTGTGCTTCTTGTTTTTACTTGACTCTAATCCATAAATAGTTTACATACAAAAATCTTCCTAGAATATTTCTAAAATATTTTGGAGCACAAAGGTATTAAACCTACAAACAATTTATATATCAAAAAATTCAATCCCAAATCAATAAAAAGTCTCTAGCAGGAAAATGAGGAGGAAGGATTCCTCCCACTATTTCTCCTAAACTTCCACTCACTCACTTCGTATTTATTATTTACCATATACTAGACCCTGCAATAACCAGCACTAAAACTAAAAAAAGAAACAAGTCAATCACAATTTAAATGCATGCATTTTATTAAAAACTTAGTCTATGCTATGGGACAAGTGTGTGAAAAGGTAAGAGAACAATGCTTTCCAATGAAGAATACACTGCAAATAAGGGGTGGAGCAAGCCTAGAATTGAACTGTAAATGCTAAGGAAATCACCCCATTTTAGAAGCCAGAAAATGCCTCAAAGATATACTTATGTGATTAAAAATAGCAATAATACATCACACTTCTCTATAATGGTTTTCACTAAAGTGTTCCCACACTTAATTCAGTAGCGTAGGCATCATTTTAAAAAAACACACACAAAAATTAAAGCCTGGATTTCAGACCGCCAA